GAAGTGCATGTTGTTGTGTTTTTGACAGGGATGGTGGCCTTGAGCAAAGCAGGCAATCTGATTTGGCCTCGCTTGGACGTGGGCGAGGACCATCGAGGAGCATCCTGGATCATCTTGCACAAGCAAACGCGTACGACACGGGAAGCATGCACGGGGAATGGACGTCCGAGCGACGACAAGACGAGGGCACCCCACCACCCCTGTAAAAAACCAGGGCAAGGTTTTCGCGGGGCCCACGAGCATGACCCAAGATTTTGCCCCAAAGTGTGCTTCGTACTGTTTTTTGACAGGAAGGGGGGGAGCATTGGTCCTGGTTGGCTGCCCGCCGCCTGGGGGAGGGGGTGTTCGTTATAGGACATTGATAAAATCCCTCCCCGAAGGGGAAGGGGGTTGGAAGAGGAAACGCCCTGAACCACTCACGCCTTAAAGGGCTGGCGGGGTTTACTCAGGCATCGTGCTCTCGCCTGGTACATCTTCACAATGTACGAGGCTAGCCTCGATGCTCCGCCCGCCGACCCGGCCGCTACGGCCCGCCCCCCCGACCCGCCCGTTGTCGGGGGCGGCAAAGAGGGGGGTGATGACTAGGGGGGGGGGATATCATGGCGCGGGCCATGATATTTCCCCAGGTTTCATGGCGCCTCTTCTTGTTCTGTTGCGTCCCTGGCCCCCCCCCTGGGCCGCGCACATGCCGCCGGCCATGATTTGCACCCCCCCCTCTTGGACGCACCCCTCTTGGCCGCTCCCGCCCGTCGGTGTCCGCCCATTCGCCTTGCTTCACAGCCCCGCCCCGCCCGCTCGGGTGTCCCGCCCCGCCCGTCCGCCAGGCAGGGCCCGCCCGCCCCGGCCCGCCCGGCCCGCCCGTTTGAACGCCCCGCCCGCCCGATATCCGTCCACTCGGCCCGGCCCGCCCGCCGCCTGACCCGCCCGTTTGGGTCCGCCTACCAGTCCTCCCTGTTTCTCACTTCTTTTGGCTCCGCCGCTTCCTCCCCCCTCTTCTTTGCCTAATTCAAGCTTCGCGCGGCCCGCTTAGCTTCGACCGGAAGAGGTGCACTCTCGACCCGCGGATCAAAAATCCTGTTTCTCATTTCTTTTCCATAATGCTAAATATGCATGTGTGTGTATGTATATAGTTGTCGTCCTTACTCCTGTCTGGCTCCTGCCCCGCTCCCCTCTCGCGCCTTCCTCCCCTCCTCGCTCCTTCCGTCTTTTTCCTGTCTCCCTCTTCCTGTCTCGTGGGCCGCGCCAGCTGCACGTGGCAGGCACACGAAAGGTGTACCCCGCAAAGGTGGTACGATCGAGTTTCGCGTCGTGTCGACTGGCGGCGACCCCGCCGCCAGTCTTGGAACCGCTCGATGTTGCAAGCGCTCCTACTAGAAGAATGAAGAAGCGCCACAAGTATAGACTTTGGGCGCTGCTTGCGGATTTCTTGGATCTGCGCTGGGCCCCCCCCGAGAGCGGCGCCTCCGGCGCCGCCCCTGGCGCGCTCCGCGCGCCAGGGAGGGGGGCCCAGCGCGGATCTAAGATATCCGCGCGGAGCTCCGGCAGTTTATGCTTATGCGTTTTATTATTATCGTTGTTTATTATTATTATTATTATTAGTAGTAGTATTATTATTATTATGATTATTATTTTCATCAGTATTATTATCATTATTTTTAGTATTCGTATTAATATTATCATTATCATTTGTAGTATTACTATTATTATCATTCTTCTTCTTTTTCTTCTTCTTCTTCTTCTTCTTATTAGTATTCGTATTATTATTATTATTATTACTATTATTATCATCATTATTATTATTACTATTATCATTATTATTGTTGTTGTTTTTATTCTTATTATTATTATTATTATTATCATCATTTTTGTTATTATTTCTTCTCTTCTACCCACGTGCTGAGCGACGCGCGAGCAGCGCAGGGCGCCCAGCCCAAGAACGATGGCTGCTGCGGCGCCCTCGCGTGCGCTGCATACCGGTGGCGCGGGGCGGCCTCCCGCTCCCGCCCTCCCGCCCCGCGCCTCTTGGCGAGCCTCGGAGGCCTTCCTGAGGCTCCCGCCTTGTGTCTCGACCAGGCACGAAGAACGCGAAACGCGCCGTTGCGTTGACTGGGTCTCCTCACGCTCAGACCTTCATCCTCCATCCTCATCCTCCTCCCTTTCGCCTCCTCCTCCTCCTACCCCCTCCTTCCCTCCTCCTCTCTCCTCCTCCCCCCTCATCCGCTCCTCCTCACTGCCCCCTCCCTCCCTCAACTCCCTCCATAACAGATGGATCTCCCTCCCTCCCCCCTCAATCCCTCCATCCCCCCCTCCCCGCCCTTCCTCTGCCTCGTCCTCTGCCTGCTTGCGCGGGGCCCCCACGCTGGCCGCCGGCCGCCCCCGAGGGGCACGCGCGCGCCGCGCGGAGACGGCGCCGCCGTCGCGGCCCCGTCCCGGAGGGCAGGGCTGCAAGCGGGAGGGGGGGGCCCCCGACTGGCGCTGCCCCTCGGGAGCCCCCAACTTCGGGCGCCGAAAGCGGGAGGGGGGCCCCCGACTGTCCCTCGGGTGCTGCAAGCGGGAGGGGGCCCCCCCACCGGCGCTGCCCCTCGGGTGCTGCAAGCGGGAGGGGGGGGGGCCCCCCACTGTCAGGAGGGAGAGAAGCACACAGGCACAATTCATCGTCGATTCCCCAGAACTATGAGAAAATAGGGGGAGTGGGGGGGGAGAGACAAAACCCCCAAAACATATATGGGAAAATATGGGGAATCTTCTGATCTGTGGGTATTTACTTGTGTGTCCTGGGGCCCCTTCGAACTGGCGCTGCCCCTCGGGAGCCCCCAACTTCGGGTGCAACTTCTGGGAGGTGAAACTCTGACTTCGCCCTGGGCCGAGCTCCGGCCTGGTCCCGCTTGGTTCCAGCCTCGTCCCGCCGACTCCGGCTCAACCTCGTTTGGTCCGCGGCCCGATCCGGCGTGGCAGCCTCCCAGCGGGGTTTCATCCTCTTCCATCCTTCCGGCGAAGACCTCCCAGTAGTTGCCCCCCGACCCAACGTCGCCTCTTGGGGCTCTCTCGGGGTGCTCTTGGGGCGCTCCCGGGGGCCGCCTGGGAGCCCCCCCGGGCCTCATCCACGCCACCGCCTGCCGCTGTGGCTGCTCAGGGTTTCGACCTCTCGCGCTGGCAGCGGCGAGGCGCGCGTCGGCCCCGGGGCCCAGGGGGCAGCCAGGACCACTGCAGAGCTCGAGGGGCAAGTCCAGGGGCCCCCGAGCGATGTGGCGGCCACGCCGTGTGGTGAGCCTCGACGAAGAAAAACGGCATGAACATGGACTTCTAGTGCTCCTCACGGACTTCTTGCGTCTGCGCTGGGCCCTCCCGACGGCGTCTCCGGCGCCGCCCCTGGCGCGCTCCGCGCGCCAGGGAGGGGGGTCCAGCGCAGATCCAAGAAATCCGCGCAGAGTTCCACAAGTTTCTGTTCATGCAGATCTTTCTCCCTCTAGAGTCAGTGGGGATTCGGGGTCGCCGCACGGTTTTGGAGCTCGGGTCGTTCTCCGAGACCGTCTCGGGCGACCAGGGCTCCAGGGTCCGAAGACAGTGCGGTGACGGGCTGTGCGGTGAGGTCTCGTGGGGTTCCGAGGTCACCGCGCGGTCTGTCACCACACGCTCTCAGGACCCCCATCTGAATGGGGGTAAATCGAGGGTTGCACAAGAGGGGCTCCAAGGGGGCGCCACTTGGGGCCTGTACACCTTTGTGCACCCCACCAGTTGGTTGCCCCGAGGCCAGTGTTGTTTTGTATAGTGCTTTCGTCGTTGTTGTTGTTGTTGTTGTTGTTGTTGTTGTTGTTGCTGTTGTTGTTGTTGTTGTGGTTGTTGCTGTTGCTGCTGCTGTTGTTGTTGTTGTTGTTGATGTTGTTGTTGTTGTTGAACATTATTTATTCTAAAGAATAATTATTGTTGGGCCCCCTGGTGCGCGCCCCCCCTGCGCCGCCTAGGCCGCAGCTGCATTTTCATCATTTTCGTGAGGAAGCCTCAGAAAAGAGGGTGTGTACAGGATCCGGTTGTTTTGTTGTAATCCGCTTTCCCTTGCAAAAAAACAATAGAAAATGACATTTCTTGTTCTAATATACTCAAATTTCAAGAATCCCTTGCAAAAAATAAGGTAAAGTGGACATTCGCGCGCGCAAGACGAAATCCTTCCAAAAGCTTAGTGTTCGGAGCGATTTTAACATAAAAACATCAAAAAACCAATGGTTTTCAACAAAAAAATGTCAAAATCTCATCCCGCGCGCTCTTGCGGATTCGTAGGAAACCAAACACTTTTTAAACATTTCTGTCAAACGGGCTTTTGCGAGCAACTTTTTCGAACTTCTGCGACAACGGTTGCGCACCTGCCATACCATGCGGGACACATTCGTTTTTTCTTAGCGCGCGCACGCCGTCGTCGTCGGCCGCGGGGCCCTGAATAGTAGCCACGGTCGTCCGCATGCCACGAAGTGAAGTGTCCGAACGTCATAGGGCGGGAAGCTGGGTGTGGGTGTGGCGAAGAGTCGTTTGGAAATTTGGTAGAGCTTGAACCGGCCCCCCCACAAAGTGGGGGTATTGCCCGCCTCCTATGAAAACCCTGCACTGGTGAGAACGGAGTGTCCCCACGTGCTAGTAATTGTTGTTGTTGTTGTTGTTGTTGTTGTTGTTGTTGTTGTTGTTGTTGTTGTTGTTGTTGTCGTCGTTGTTGTTGTTGTTGTTGTTGTTGCTGTTGTTGTTGTTGTTGTTGTTGTGGTTGTTTTTGTTGTTGTTGTTGTGGTTGTTGTTGTTGTTGTTGTTGTTGTTGTTGTTGTTGTTGTTGTTATTGTTGTTGTTGTTGTTGTTGTTGTTGTTGTTGTTGTTGTTGTTGTTGTTGCTTGTGCTGCTGCTGCTGCGATTGTTGTTGTTGTGGTTGTTGATGTTGTTGCTGTTGACGCAACCACTAGCTGGCGCCCGCCCACCCCCCCGGCGCGGCAACGCACTGCAACGCAGTCTACCCCACGCCCTGAGGCCGCAAAGGAGTGCAATGGATTCCTCTGGGACCTCATAGGATTTGATTGGATTCGTATAGGAATCTTATAGGGTCTTATGGGAATCGTATGGGAGTCCTATTGGACCCTATGGGTTTCGTATAGGAGTCCTCTGGGATTCAATGGGATTTGTATATGAACCCCATAGGATCCGTTTGGATTCGTATAGGAATCCTACAGGATCCGACTGGATTCGTATACGAGTCCCATAGGATCCAGTGGGAGCCGTGTAGGAGTTTAGGATCCGATTGGATTCGTATAGGAATCCCTTGGGATCCTATGGGATTCGTATAGGAGCCCTATTGGATCCTATGGGATTCGTATCGGAGTCTTGTAGGATCCGATGGGATTTGTGTAGGAGCCCGATAGGATCCGATGGGATTCGTATAGGAGTCCTGTAGGATCCAACGGGATTCGTATAGGAATCCTATAGGAGCCGATGGGATTCGTATTGGAATCCTACCGGACCCTATGGGATTCGTATAGGAGTCCTGTAGGATCCGATGGGCTTCGTAAAAAGGAGTCCTATAGGATTCGGTGGGATTCGTATAGGTGGCGTATAGGATCCGATGGGATTCGTGTAGTAGCCCCATAGGCTCGGATGGGATTCGTATAGGAGTCCTGTAGGATCCGATGGGATTCGTATAGGGGTCTTATAGGATCCGATGGGATTCGTATTGGAGTCTTATAGGACCCCTCATGGTTTACAGCATCCTCTAAGGATTCTACAGCATCCCCTAAGGATTCAATGGGATCCGATGGGGTTCGTATTGGAGTCCTGCGGCCTCGGATGGGATTCGTATCGGAGTTTTATAGGATCCGAGGGTATTCGTCTGGGAGTCCTATAGGGTCCTTTTGCATTCGTATAGGCGTCCTGTAGGATCCGATGGGATTCGTATAGGAGTCCTGTAGGATCCGATGGGATTCGTATAGGGGTCTTATAGGATCCGATGGGATTCGTATTGGAGTCTTGTAGGATCCCTCATGGTGTAGAGCATCCTCTAAGGATTCTACAGCATCCCCTAAGGATTCAATGGGATCCGATGGGGTTCGTATTGGAGTCCTGCGGCCTCTGATGGGATTCGTATCGGAATCTCAGGATCCGATGGTATTCGTCTGGGAGTCCTATAGGGTCTTATTGCATTCGTATAGGCGTCCTGTAGGATCCGATGGGATTCGAGTGGGAGTCCTATAGGATCCTATGGGATTCGTATCGGAGTCTTGTAGGGTCCGACGGGATCCGTGAAGGCGTCCTTTAGGATCCGATGGGATTAGTAAAGGAGTCCTAGAGGATCCCATGGGATTTCGTATATGAGTCCTATAGGATCCGATGGGACTCGTATAGGAGTCCTATAGGATCCAATGGGATTCGTACAGGAATCCTACAGGATCCGATGGGATTCGTATAGGAGTCCTGTATGATTCGATGAGATTCGTATAGGACTCCTATAGGATCCGATTGGATTCGTATATGAGTTTTATAAGATCCCCCAGAGTTTTTTTTAAGCATCCGGCAGGGATTCTACAGCATCCCCTAAGGATCCCACAGGAGTCCCAAGGGAGTCGGCAGGATTGCCTTGTACGATTCCGCAAGAGTCTGCAGCTCCGAGGTCGGCTCGGTGGAGCGCGCATAGGTTGAGCTCGTGGGGAATACGTGGGCTCTTTTAGGGGTCACGAGGGATTCCAGAAGATATCCAGCGGCTTGCTTTGGTTTCCTAGGCTGGCCGTGTGGCGCGTAGCGTTGCGTTGCGTTGCGTTGCGCGGGGGGGGGGGGAGGGCGCAGGGTACACCAGTGTATTGTTTCAATGCAACCAGCTGGTGTACCTGGTCCGGGCACCAGCTGGTTGTTTTGCCTTGATGCTGTGGTTGTTGTTGTTGCTGCTGCTGTTGTGTTTGTTGTTGCTGCTGCTGTTGTTCTTGTTGACATTGTTGTTGTTGCTGCTGTTGTTGTTGTTGTTGTGGTTGTTGTTGCTTGTTGCTGTTCTTGTTGTTGTTGTTGAACATTATTTATTCTAAAGAATAATTATTGTTGGGCCCCCTGGTGCGCGCCCCCCCTGCGCCGCCTAGGCCGCAGCTACATTTTTCATCATTTTCGTGAGGAAGCCTCAGAAAAGAGGGTGTGTACAGGATCCGGTTGTTTTGTTGTAATCCGCTTTCCCTTGCAAAAAACAATAGAAAATGACATTTCTTGTTCTAATATAATCAAATTTCAAGAATCCCTTGCAAAAAATAAGGTAAAGTGGACATTCGCGCGCGCAAGACGAAATCCTTCCAAAACCTTAGTGTTCGCAGCGATTTTAACATAAAAACATCAAAAAACCAATGGTTTTTCAACAAAAAATTGTCAAAATCTCATCCCGCGCGCTCTTGCGGATTCGTAGGAAACCCAACACTTTTTAAACATTTCTGTCAAACGGGCTTTTGCGAGCAACTTTTTCGAACTTCTGC